TCTCCCTGCCTAATAATTACCTGGTGCCACCTGTACCCCGGGGCACAGCCCTTTGTCCTGCAGGAAAGCGGAGCAGGGTGATGCTCTGAGGGATTTGGCCCCATCCCTGTGTTCCCTTGGCTCCTTCATCCTCCCACAGGTTGGGATGGAGCCAGCCACACTGGTTATTGCAGCAGCTGGTTATTGCAGCAGTGCCTCAGGGTTGGGAACACGTTTGGGATGAGCATTGGATAGTTCCCTCAGCTAGGGACGGATGTGGAATGAGAAAACATCCCTGGGATGGGGAGTCAGCCCCAAACCTCAGAATGGGGAAACAACCACAGGATGGGGAAGTAGTTCTGAACCCTGGGACTGGGGAGTCAGTCGTGGGATGGGGGTGGGGCTGGGGGCGGCAGTCCTGGGATAGAGGGACAGCCCTGAGCTCCAGGGTGGGGATACAGACCCAAGCCCTGTGGGGCAGGATGAGGCCATGGCTGCATGGTGGGGGAGGAGGTGGAGGAGGAGGAGGAGGAGACTGGCTCCAGCCACCGGGCATCATGCCAGGCCACGCCATGTTTCCCAGCTGGGAAAGCAGTTGTTGCCGCCCTGACTCAGCCCACGGGGGCTGAGCCAGATTTCAAACGCGGCGCGGCAGGCGCGGAGCTGCTGTTTCGCAAGGCTTCTGGTGGCACCCGGGCCCCTGGGAGCGGGACCGCGGGTGCCCGCGGCGCTGGGACGGGCCGGGACTTGATGGTGCATCAGTAAAAGGGCTTAAAAAGAAGGGGGAGGAGTCGCCGTGGAGCAAAACTCCTCTGCATGGCCACGTGTGGAGCTGAGCCTGTGGCTGACCTGGGCTGCAGGAGGGGAGGGGGTGGCTTGAGTGAGGATCCTGCTTAACGTCCTCCTACGGGGTTTGGGGGTCTTGTCTTTCCGCACGGGAACCCCCAGGCACAGGCTTGCAAGGGTGCTGAAGGCGTCTCCTCCCCGCAGGCCAAGCTGAAGAACATGGAGACCACCCTGCAGGAGAAGGCCAAGGACTTTGCGGCCGTGCACCGCTCCTACGAGTCCATCTCCAAACACAACCAGGTGCGTGGTCCCTCCTGCTGGGGGGGGCAAAGGGCTTGATCCTGACACACGAGTGCACAC